CACACACAGAGAAACATATCTAGCTGTCTATGCATCGTCAGCGTGGGTGTGAATTTAACCCCCCTCCCCGCCTACTTGTTTTCAACAGATGAGATGTAAGGTCCATTAACGACGGCACCAAACTAATGATTGGATAAAATTGGTGGGGAGGAAAGGGGTGGGCGTTGGAGATGAGGCAAGAAAAGTGGACCCTGGAATTTAACTCAATGTATAATATTACAGAAGTCCCATAGATAAAAGAATAAGTATACCTAGAGTCTACGTAGTTCGTTGCAGTTTCAGCAGCTGTCCTTGAACGTCATTGCGCGTTCTGAGAATACCATGGTACACCAGGGTTTACAGTTACATTAGTCAAAGCAGTTTTGTAAAAAGTGAGCCTACCTGCTTTGTCGACAAAGTTGAGTCACTCTGAAAGTGCATATGAACCACTCGGTCCAGGGATTAGAGTTATGGCGATGGCGCGAAATGACTGTTATGATAGACCAGGGTTCGATATCACAAAAGTGCGAATGCAGACCTCCTACCATTTTTTTAATAATGACGGCGCTCGCAACGGCGTAAGGTCATTTTATTATGTCCGCGCGGGACACATTAAACGTTTTCAATTGGTAGGACATTTTGAATTTTAGCCGGGCGGCGGCCGAAGCCTACTCTTATCGATTTTAGACCACCAAGGGATCTTTAGCGTGCGCATTCGCAGCCGTATAGAAAGGTTAACCACCCGCTTTAGTCTTTTCAATAATAATTTGTCGATGAGACATGTCTATTTTTCAGAATGGGACTCATCTCATTGAAACTCTATTAGCTTTTGTAGTTCTCAGTTTTATTCTGTGAAACAGTTGCAACCGGATATAATTATTTATCATACATATTTAATCTCTTTTATTTGACTGATCTTCTCACCATTGTTGTCAAAAATAGAAAGAGTCGACCGCACAACAATAAAACTTAATCTAACACGGTGTGAAAGGAAGAAAGGGTAAGCTGATCTACATGAAGAGAATACTCATTTCTCTGTTAATCATGATTAAAAAGAAACTGTTTGAGCACTGACCAACTGGGATCGATTAAACAGGAAATTAACACACAAACATTTAAAAAGGTTGGTATACTGGGGATGGGGGGGATAGGGGGGGGGAGAGGGGGGGGGGGGGGGGGGGGGGAGAGGCGGACCATTACATATCTCATATTTTTAAAATACAATCAGCTATCACTGATAACAAA